TTCTGTGTTCACAAACCAAATTATTCTTGATTTAGTTCTCCATAGTTTGGGATTTCATGCTGTATGGTTGCTAGCTCGCCACATGTTATCTGCAGTGGTGAATGATGTTCAGGAGCTGCGCGGCCAGCAGTAGCTGGAGGCCTGAGACTTTATTAGTGACCTGTCACCTGGATGGAAGGAGTGCATGTTACCTGGAGTTACACGGGAAGCATAGCAGCTGCTCCTTGTTCTCCCTTCAAGGACAGCACAGGTCAATGATTTTTGGCTCCCTGTGTGTGCAACCGTGGTGCTGCCATATGAATCGACAACCTCTTAAATATTTGACTCATATCTGTGTGAGCCAGAGGTTTTGAAACGACGGCGGCATCAGTGTAGGGTGGATTTTAGGACTTTGTAAGAAAAAATATGGTGTTTTTGTTTGCTTAAAGGTTATATGTGTTTGTCTTGTTGTGCAGCCCGTGGGGTTTCATTTAGTTGCGTATCTCGGATATGGGACGAATTAATCAATCCGCTGAAATGTCTGAAATGTAAAGTCACCACGATGCACAGCTCAAAGCGGCAAATTAAGAGCACACCAGTGAGGGATTTAATTAGAGTGGCTCGGTGTGATTGCACTGATAACAGAAGAAGATATATGACCATATATCATTCAGTGCTCCTGTGATTCAAAGGTCACAGCCTTTAATTCTGAATGGCTGGCTCTCAAGGTAACATTAGAAGAAGGCAAAACAGCAGTTGCTGCTGCTTGGTGAAACACAGTCTTTTTCAAGACGCCATAAAAGGAGAAAATACGGTAAATATTAGATATCCGGTTTCAGCAATCGGATATGGCTTGTGTATTATTATTATAGAGCCACTGAATTGATCAGAGTATAATGTAGCGCCACGTTTGGCGTGGTAAATCACTACGCTGCCACTGGTGGTGCTCGGTTTCAAGCTCTAATGTTCCGAGCGCTTTGGCCGCACTGAGCGTTAGGCTTCAATTGAAATGCTGCAGCACCGAGTAGGTCGGGAACCTGCACAGAGGGACGTGTGTGTGTGTGTGGCTTCGCCTGTAACACAATATGAAATATATTGCACTTGCACAGAAGCTCTCAATGAAAAATCTCCCAACCTACTCTTGATAAAATAATAACACCGGTCCACAGGCCCAAATCAATGCGCTGACAAGCCATCCGAGCACGAGACCGGCCATCAGTCAAACCAAAGGGTGAGGCGCGTCAGCCTCTCGCTGTTTCTGTCGCTGTTGAGTCACTTACTGCAGCTGACGGTGCTCAATAACATTTCATCGTGTATTAACTGTTGCCAAGTTCTTGCAGAGCTCCACGTGCGCTCGACTCCGTTTCCCGTCTGCTACGAGAGGCGGAGTCGTCATCGGTAAACAGCGCTAAATGCACTGTGTTCACTTTGCCTTGAACGAGACCCATCACCTGGGCGGGCACTGCGGGTACCACGCTGTCCACCGGCAAAATATAGCAGACTGCATGCACGTGGCAGACGATAGGATACGAAACATGCATTGAGATGCCATGTTTATGAGTTCATGACTGAGGTGCCACAGCAGCATGTTTCTACGTTCCAGTGAGCTTTGTAAAGGCTGAATACAATTTATTTCCTTTATTTAATGAAAGTGTCACTGCTGTTCACCTTGGAAATCATGTAATACACAAAGAGTGAACACATGCCGATATACGAGGAAGTGTTTGGCGTGGGGGCACTTTCAGCTCACAGCCAGACGGGCACCGGGGGTGTTTCTGGAGTTAACATTTGTTGCGTTTTCTCAGGCTTTCCTCCCCGTCTCTCTGACTGTGTGTGTGTGTGTGTGTGTGTGTGTGTGTGTGGGCACAGTGAGGGACTGGTGACCTCTCCAGGTTGTACCCTTCCTTTAGTGAAGGGCATGATGCGATGCATGATGGTCCCCTGTGACCCTAGAAAGAAAGCGGTATAGAAATGTAATGCATGGATGAATATTTGATCATGCATAATTAAATATATCATTGCAGCACATTTCAGAAAGTCAGTAACGTTTGCGTCTTCCAGGGAGCAAATGTCAATTGACTGGAAGACATTTTGACTTTTTTGTCTTACGTCAGCTTGTCCTCAACATAAAGGCTGTTTCATACAGCAGAACAGTTTTCAATGAGATTTTCAATGCATGCATTTGATAGCAGTTAGCATAGCTACAACATAATTGCAGCCGGTAGACTTAACGCTACATAAAGAAAAAAGAAATTGCCCACCTAAGACCCACCATGAATTTTTCATTTTGCCTGCGGAATATACATGACTGCAGAAATTAACATAATTTGGTAGCACTTTAGTAGAGGATTATAGCCATCAATATTAGATGAACAAGTTCACCCCCAATTTAATGAAATCTTTGAGTGTGTGACCACATTAGGAGAAGAGACTGATGAGGAACAGATGCACCCTCCTGCTCCTTGTTGAAACAATACAGTGATACTTTATAATCTGAGAGAAACAAGCTCATCACGGCTTGGGGCTTCCAACAACATTCATAAGCGACACACCTGTTTACCTGAGTGGAATACCCATTGATTATTATTAATATTAATGACATGCTGAGATAAAGAAGACGGTGACATAATTACTGCTACAGCCGAAAGTAGTAGGCATTGTTTGTTGCTTTTGGAGTTATTACTTTTGGTAGTTTGTTGTCGACTGGAGCAGTTTTTCTGAAGAACGGAGAAATAGCACTGCATAGCCTCAGGAGAAACACGGCACAAGGACCATATCTCTTTTTTGTGGTATCTTTGGGGGGGGGGACACTTAGAAGGCAAGCCGGGGAGGACGTAGGGGTATAGGTGAGGGGAAAGGACATGATAGACAGTCTGCAGGGTCGGGAGGAGTCAAAGCAGTTAGTGCTTTAAAAACCTCGAGGACCACCGCAACCTGCAGCAAGTCATACATTTTAGATGAGAAACTTTCTGGACAGTCGGTCCCGCTGCCTCCGTTCCTTGGTGTCTGTTCGCTGTCAGTCCAATAAAAAAAGGAAGGAGGTAAACAACGAAGCAAAAAAAGCCAAAGTTTTCCTCCAACATATGTTGCCAAATTTCCGTTCAGTTTTAATTGGTGCCATTTCCCCATATGAGGTTAGTTGATTTTTTTGGTGGAATGGTGAAGAAACAGCAGTTAGCAAAACTTCGGAAGGAAGGAAGTACAGATGTCTCGCTACAAGGCTTTTTTTTTAAGACATTCGTCTTCATCCCGGGCTTTGCTTGATCTAGAACAGCTTTTCAGTCTTTCGGTCTCTTGGTCTGAGGGGGTGAATAGATGGGTTCTCTGACCGGTCAATGTGACAGCTTGTGTGTGTGTGTGGCGGGAGCTTATTTACAGACTTACCACATGTCCACATTCTCAAATTCTCCTCCAGTCACCATGAGAATCACCATGAAAAGATTCCCATTGCCTCATTTTTCCTTCTTAACTAACTTAACGTTTTATGGAGATGCGAACAACTGGAATGCATTTTACACCAAACCCTGACACTACAATCAAAGTGTATACAGAAAAACTAATCTTTTTTTCTTTTTTTTATTCATTTTTACAAATTGAAGAAGCAGACGATCTGTTAAAAAGGATCGATGTGTGATGACATGATGTAGCATAGCATAATTACATAGAAACTCTACTTCTTCTTGCTTCAGAGGACAGTATTTATTTCCCAGGATGTTCTTTAGCAGACACTTCTTCCCAGAATCTTATTATGCGTTGTAATAAACAGCTGTAATAAACCAAGATTCCTCAGTTATTGCTTCTATTTCTTGTTCTCTGAAGACTGACATTAAGGAGCATGGACAAAGCGTGCGGATTTACTGATTTGTGCTCCCTCAGCTCTATTGTGTCCTTTCCGTCTTTGTTAGCCTGATGCCTCATTCACTCCTACCACCTCTGTATCACAAATGTATATATATATATATATCTGTGTTATTGTCCTTCCGTTAACTGTGCCAGTGTGTCCTTCCCTCCTCTATGGCCGTAAACACGCATGCCAGCATTCCAGTAAGGAAGAAAATATTCAAATTGGAAGGTTTATTATAAAGAGACATTTGTAAAAAAAAAAAAAAAAAAAGAATCAAGAAAACCGATGAATATCAATGCCTAAACTGGTTTAGCTCGTCTGTTCATGAAATTTTAGTTGTAATTGTAGGTTGGGGGTTGTATCATGTGATAATTTAGTAACAAATCAAATAAATACCTTTCCCTCTCTTTGCTGGTTGCCTGAGGCCAACGCATCCCACCCCGACTGATGGCGCCCTCCGACTCCCGGAGTCGATACAAACGGCTTTAATACTCAAAACATTATTATTTGAAATCATTGTCAAAAAGGCGGGTTAAATCGTTGACATATGCCCCATTAATGTCCCCAAATTGTTTCATGCATTTTGCGTTATTGACAGCTAGGGGCCTGAAAACAAGTAATGTTAACGACTTCATCTGGCAGCGACCGCACTGTCCTGCCAAGCCTCCCGCCGCCGCGCTCGCAGACAAACGGGCTCATCTGTACTGGATCATTTGCTGTCTCGTGATACGCTGTGGTTTATAGCCAATTATCTCTCGCAATCCATTATCGATTACAGTGTTATCTTTCTTGCATTGCTTAATCTTTTGGCACAGGAACACAGTGGCTCACAGGGGGGGGGGGGGGTGCTACAAACCGCTTAGCGATGGGAACGCTAGTGAAGATGGATGAATGTTAATTTGCTTGTGGATGTGTAGAGTTTAAATCCTCATTCAGACCGTTTGCAGCATCAATGAGGTCGTGGTGTGTTTATTATTTGCAGTTCCCCCTTTTAGGAAGTTCAAACAGTAACAGTCAGTGTGTCCCAGTGAGTGTAACACCTTTAACAACAGTCTAAATTAATTATTTCTTTTGAGGTTTTCATATTATTTCTTAATTTCTTCGAGAGCAATGTTTACTAAATATTATGCGATACTGTATAACGTTTTTTCTCTGTGTTTCTGTGTCTTCTTTCTAGTTGGGTTAATAACTTTGGTCATGAGGGTCTCGGTCTGCTGCTGGATGCTTTGGAGAAGCTGCTTGACAAGAAACAGTAAGTGATCCCTTCTGATATTCCGTCTCTGTGTAATTTTTATAGGGCCGGATTGTGTTCATTTAATCGCAATTTCCTTTTGATCGTTTGGTTTTGCAGGCAGGAGAATATTGATAAGCGTAACCAGCACAAACTTATCCAGTGTCTGAAGGCTTTCATGAACAACAAGGTTTGTATGCGTCAAAATAAATGATTAATTGCATAATTATTCCGACAGTATACCGTCCTGGTGATCTGATATTCCTTGAAGCGCTGCTAAACGACCTTGAAATAGACTTATTGGGGTGTAATGTCATTTTCTTTTTCTTTAATATTAAACATCTATGAAATGTCTAATCGTAGCTCAGGTGGCTGAAGAATCAAAGCCTGATTGGGATCTGGACTTTGACAGAAGCACAGCAAAGTGAATCTATGAATTATCCTTTTTGCGAAGGTCTTGCTTATTTCTGAAAATTGGCACACGTTTCAAGGATAGACAGACTCTTGATGTTGCTGCTCTCAGAGTTAATCCCCAGGTGGTCCTCTCTGCCCATTCCTTCAGTTGTGGGGGGACAAAAAGGTACAGGAGACTATAAGTATTTGTCCCCATAGTCCTGTCCTGAATTGAATTAATTCATCATTCTCTCCATTTCCTCCCGTGGCCTCCTCGTCCCTCCTAAAAAAAAGAAATTAAGCCCAACATAAATTACGTATATTAGCTTATTTTTATAATTAATTTCTCACTTGAAGGGAAAGTTCTTTATACATGCAAGTGCTCTCATTAATTTATACTCAATGGACCACTTCTGTATCCTACCTCCTCCCTTCATGTCTCACAGTATGGACTGCAAAGGATCCTGGGAGATGAGCGCAGCCTGCTGCTGTTGGCAAGAGCGATTGACCCCAAACAGACCAACATGATGACCGAGACGGTCAAAATCCTCTCTGCTTTCTGTATCATTGGAGAAGAAAACATGTAAGTCAAATCATCATTTGTCACAATCGTTGTAACGCACAACTTTTTTTTTTTAATTTCAAGATTCAACCATGTCCACAGAATCTCAAGTAAAATAAGGACACGGTCACAGTTGGATTACGTCATTGAGAGATTCAGCTGTACATGCAGATTTTTCCACCACTGAGACTTACAGCTGCCCTGAGACAGTAGAATAAAATATAATTGAATAGAAATCCACTTGTTGAGTTTGTAAAATATAAAGCAGAGACAATCCCCTGATTTATCAGAATAACGTAACCTGCCCTTCAAAGGGGCCGTTCAGCAGAAAATAAAAGGAAATACTTAATTTAAGTCGTACCCGAGGGCTGTTTATCAAACTAGATATTTCGTAGGTGTGAGTCTCCAATCTTTGCAAGAATTGTCCTTGAGAAGTCCGCTTTGTCACAAATACAAAAAGACGACACGGCATCTTTTTCCAGAAATTCCGACCTGGTCTCTCTAGATAATCCAAAGACCTTGTTATGAGCAGTTTCATACATGGAACCCTCCATTATTCATACCGAGGTGGGTGCCACATAGTCCCTTTCATATTCAATGAAAAGCCAGAAGAAGATTGATGAATAGCACCTCAGCTGAGAGGAACAATATGCATTTTTTATTTTGATGTGCACTGTCCTTTTAAATACCTTTTCCTAACCGCTATTCAGAGTTGTAAGCCAGTTTTTAGTGTACAAAATCAGATGAGGGACATTTTCCTATCTTCCTCAGTCAATCACATCTGATATGAAAACAAAACAATGCCAATTCAAAATCTCGACAGAAAAATAAGAAAACGTGTCAATGAAAGAGATATGGTCCATCACCGCTCTACGATGTTTAGCAGGAGGAACGGAGACGGCTGTTTCTTGTGAAGAAATCTCTATTGCTTCAATCTCCTCCCACTGGGTGGCAAACGCTCAGACAGAGATTGCATCGCATACATGATTGCCCACTAAGAGCATATGCCGAATTTACAGATAGACATTTGTTTGGTCACATGGTCAGATGATGCAGTTTAGTCTGTTTAATGTGTTGAACTACTCAGTGAAGTTTGCCGCGGACACACAACCTGGCTGACGGCTTCTAAATTGGATTTAGGGGAGTGTTTTTTACCGTTTCCCACGGGGCCGGACTAGAATAACAATGGCACTTATAGTGTGAAGGCCGTGTTGGAAATAAACAAACCCACACATAGTGTTGGGGAAGCTGAGTACATTTGTGTATAGACGGAACAAATATGTCGCCATCTCTCCCTCGGTTCTCAAATTATGATCCATGATCACAACCCAGATATTGAACCGTACCTGTCCTGCATAAACTACCTTCAGAGTCACCTTTTTACGCTCAGGAATGTCTCCGCAGTCCTCTGCAGGCTCTTCTTCGACACCCACAGCATCAAAAGGGAACACGACGAGTTAAGCAGCTCTAACGGGCCCGTTTTGAAGCGTCGCCTGAACTGGCTTTGAAGCTCCTCAGCATGCGGCTCCCCGTGCTCGTCTATGGCTCTGTAACCCCGATCGCAGGGCACGGCCGTTCCACTTATCTTAGCCGTTTTGTCATCCTGAAAGTCTTATTCTATTCGTTGCGTTGTCGATATTAGGTAATGGAAATGGCGCATGCATATGCTGGTTCACCCCCTACGGCCAACCCTTTATTTATGTCTTCATTTATTTATTGGATCAGCAAACTGGTACATCGGGCTAGGATCTCTTTTGTACCCTCGGGAGTGAGGGCAGGAGATTAAGGTCTTCAGTTTTGCAATTTATGAAGGCAAAATAACCCCTCACTGTGACAGAGAGACCACCTGTAGCCAATTATTAAGTATGCATATTCTACGTAAGTGTTTACACAAGTGCTGAAGACATCAATTTACTGAAATTAGTGTGTGTTTGTGTGTGTTCCCTTTCATTCACATTTAGAGGCTGGAATTGTCCAAGGTGCTGTTTAGCTGAGCTGCCTTGAGCTCTCGCGAGTGCTCAATTTGCTTACCTTTTCAATAGATGTATTAGTCTGGTTCTGGCTATAATTTTCTTCTTTTTTTTACCCAGCCAACTGAACATTCACAGTAAATCCCTGTTCTTGTCTAGCATCACCTTAGCAACAAGCATCGTACCATCAATATTGGAGGGTTGCATTCAAAGAGAAGTAAATCAGTAGCATTTTTCAGGGCGACCAAACACTGGCCGAGCAAATGTCCACACACCGACGCACACGAGAGGATAAGAAACACGCTGTTCTAGTGGAAGGCTGTGAGTTAATGTTCCGTCAGTGAGGGCAATAAAAGTGTTTGTTGACTTCTCCCTCTTTCCTGTTTTCTTCCAGCCTGGATAAGATTCTGGCTGCCATGACAATCGCTGCAGAGAGGAACAATAAAGAGAGATTTGCTCCAATTGTGGAAGGACTGGAGAACCACGAAGCTCAGCAGCTTCAGGTTAAGAAACGCACACAGGAAACAAAGTTAACACAACCACCTTACGTTCATCATGCATTCATTGTTCTGTTTTTATTTGATTATTTCTCGTAAAAGGGTGAAAGTGACCCTTGTGGCTCAGTGGCCAAAGCAGTTACTGTTGTTCTTCTACGGCACTTTGAGTACTGTGTACATTTCAGGGTGCCTCTCATAGTAAACTTCATTTTCACACATTCTGTCGTTGTCCTGAACAAGATGACAATTGATTCCACATGGGACTTTGAGAGGCACTTTTGTACCCATCGGGCCTCAGCTGTGCTCATCCATGTGATTTCCTCTGCTTCTCTTACTGTCCTCACTGTCCTGCCACACTTCTTGCACATGATGGGATGTGGCCACTGCGCTGCTGAAATGCAACAATAGCTCCGTCCCCGCTGATTTAAATAAAAACACTTGCTTCATTGAGATGCTCCACTAAATTGAACCCCCAGAATAAAGTATATATATACGAGGTTTTGAAATCCTCGAAGCTTTTTGGTTTTCCTTCTCTCTTTTTTCACATTTTCTTGCTCGTGTTTTCTCACATCTAACAAATACTCCCTTGCTTTTTTTCCATGCTGCTGTCAGATTGGGTCTCAGAGGACTGGATGTGAAAGGGCAACTAAAGCACCACACCGCTCTTCGCTTTCACTAGTTTTCTTCAGCTGAAGAAAAGACAATACAAGAGCGTTGCAAAAACAAAAACAAAACCTTTAAACATTCTTTTGTGAAACCAAATGTGGGGAATTACTTAAGGAATTACTTTTTTAAATGCAGGGATTGTGAAGTCATGAAGGAAAAGTCATGAAGGAAACTGATGAGGCGGGTGGTGGAAGTTAAAGTAGATATTCTTTTATTAGGAGGCTGTCGTCTTCCACTTACATTTTGCGGTTAATGAAATGAAGCTCTGCTGATTGTGAAGTAAATTAAAATGCTTTGCCGATGCAGAGGAAGGAAATGAATAGACTTCTTTTCATCCCAAACCTGTGATGGGCCGTAGAAGAAGACACCGCTAATGTGATTAAAACGTGTTTTCCCGTAGTTCCGGTTATACTTGTCGCCGAGTACCGAACTAAAAAAACGAAAAAAGAAAATAAAATCCCCGCAGTGCCGCTTTCAATTACAATGTGAGGAGCCCCCCTATGGCAGCTCTCCAAACCTAACCCGTGTAATGCCCCCACCCACAACACAGCCGCTTCCCACTCCTCAGTACATGACTGAAGTATGTTTGAGGTGCTTGATGTAAGTATCAGTGTCTGTGCATGCGAAGAGAGGGAATTTTTCATGAGCTCCACGGCTTTCTTCTCTTGCATGAATTTTGTGAGGATTCGCCGGAGTTTCTTGAATCTGGCCTTTGGTGGATACAGTAAAATGTCAGATTCTTGCAGGGAGGCTTTCACGCTTTCGTGGAACAGGAGAAAAGTGCCCTGGTGCCAGGCACCGGTGCACTGTAGGTAAAGGCGCTGCATAGTTTGCAGCAACGCGTTTTTGCTCATTATTGCATAGGAGCGGTATTTTTAGGTACCTTTCGTTCTCCCTTTTCCAGACACCAAAAGTCAAATAACTGATAGATTTGATTGAAGCGCTACAGTATTACTGTAAAACTTTTGAACCTGAAACGTATCAAAAACCGATCCAGGAAAACCACACAGAATCAGCAGTGTTTTTTCTCTTATTAATCATTGATACGAGGCGACGGTAGAGGGTCAAGGTTTTAGCAGACAACGCTTCACATCGCTTTCATGGGAATCCTTCAGCCCGCAATCGATTGTCTGTCCAAGGAAAACTGTCTCATCCATGCTTTGCTCCCCTGAAACACCTTACTGCTCATTATAATTCACCAGCGATTTCCTCTTAACCCTCCTCAATCCAACACGCACACATCCAAACACACACAGACACCCGTTGAGGCTTTTTCCTTTCCAATAAATCCATTAATAATGCACCATCGAGACACACCCGTCCTGGGCTTTCTCTCCCCGTCTCCATTTCTCTCTCTGCTTTGTTGCAATCCCTTTTCTTTAGTTTTCAAAAAGAGGTCTGATATCGATATGTTTTGCAAGAAAAATCTCCTTTTCTTCTCATTTCTCATTTGTCTTTTCCTCCCTCTTGTTATTTCGTGTGCGTACTCCACAGGTTGCTTGCATGCAGCTGATCAATGCTCTCGTCACCTCCCCCGATGACCTGGACTTCCGGATACATCTACGCAACGAGTTTTTAAGATGTGGCCTCAAGAAGATCCTACCTGTGAGTCATCAAGCCCCCCCTCACAGCACGCGGTTCAATTATTCCACATACATGGGGGTGTCACAGTATTCTTGGCTTGAATGCATGCTGGTTAAGTGAAATAATTAGACTTTAACTAACAGATAGCTAAACAGCCTTTTCAGTCATGCAACAGCTTTAACTTACAGAGGATATTCATCTAATTATGTTTAGATAAATCACCCAGGCATCAAACCAAACAATCCAGGTGTCGGATGACACGGGGGACATGAATAAGAAGGCCCCTACTTGCCATGAATGCAATTAGCAGTACTGAGGGTATGACGAGTAGTTGTAGCAGTCGCTTTTGTCAAGTCTGATGCAGTGCCAGCACCTCATCACCCGGGTCATCCCCGCATCGTTATCAGCGGGCCCACACATCTTCACACGAGGCGAACCAGCTCCGACTCATCACTCAGCCTCTCGTTTGCAGCAAGCGGGGCGAACGTGTCACCGAGCCAGTTGCTAATAAGTCATCCCAGCTGCTCCCGTTGATTATTGCTGTCATTACTTTAATTATCTCCAATTCTGCCCCCCGATATGAAAGAGTGTCGGTATACAGGCATTTACGACTGCCGCGTTCGCCGCCTTTAATGCCGACGTCGGAGCTGACACTCGTTTGTGTGATTATGAGTTATGCACAGGAGCCGGCGTGGTGAACTGTGCCGGGAAAAAAAAGCGCACAATTTGTTTTGTTCCTGCAGTCCTTGAGATACGCAGTTGGCCTACCTCGTCTCCTCCACCTCCTCCACCACCCTTCCCTATTCTGTGCCATTGCACACCTCCCCTCGACCCTCTGTTGCACCAGACAGATGGTGCATCCAAAAAAAAAAAACCAGTGCAGGTTGATTGATACCTGCAGGAATTGGGTTACATTTGGCCCTGTCTCCGTCTGTAAACTCCACTGCGGGTGATTCATAGAGGTTGTAAAGAGCACCGGCGTAGCCCCTTGTGGCTGGAACAGGTGTGCAAGGAATGGGTACTGTGTGGAATGCCCACAGTTCGCAGTACTACAGCTGGAACTGGAAGTAACAGATATTCAAGGATTACAGTTGTTTTTCTTACAATAGGGACCGCTCAACAGTTAAACGTGCACGTTTCAACACTGTAGTCGTACATTCTTAAAGGATGCATCTAAGTTATGCCTGGCTCCTTATCGTAATCCGCATGGCAAGATGATCCTTTTGTGTAACTTCATATTTGTGGTCTTTTTTTGTCTCACTCATTGTAGGAGCTAAAAGAGACGGAGGAGCTAGACATCCAGCTGAAGGTGTTCAATGAGAACAAGGAGGAGGACTCTATCGAACTGTCCCATCGCTTGGACGACATCCGAGCGGAGATGGAATATCCTTTTTTTACTCCCTCCGTGTGAAACCACAGATAAAGAGGTCTGCAGAGTTGGAACACAATTTGAGTGCATATTGTGGGTTTTGTCAAGCTTTACAGGCCGAAAGCTCTCATGTGTAGGTTCATTCCAGAAGGATTTGAGGAGCCGGAGCACAATATCCATCTCTGTCCAGTTATTCTATGTAAATAATCCTGTCATCCGAACCCTGCGCCTCTTTACTCTTCTTTTTTTGTTTAGACTTCTCCTCACCCCCTCTCCACTTTTCGTCCTTGGTCTGATGGCGCTGTGTAAAGCAGGACTGCTGTAAGACTCAAGAGGAAGATTTCAAACAGACATTTGCTTTCACACCGCTTACTGTTCACAGCAGACAATTTACCGTTTCATCAGGTGTCAGATTATATTGTCTGCACAAGGCTTCTCATATAAAAGGCATCATCCCGTTCCATTTTAGAAATGTAAAATCCCCCCCCCCCCCCAAAAAAAAGCTCTCTGCCAATGTCTACATTCAACTCTAAAAGCATGCAGAGTAGGTAACAAGTAACAAGGTGAGTTCCTCCAACATCCCGGAGAAGACCCCCATAATAATTCACTAATCTCCTCTAAGGCTGCGTATGAATGGCTGACATTGTGAACAGACAAACCAGACGCTGACATTGTTATGCTGATATTTATTCCCCCAACCTTTCTTCCTCCAAATCCCAGGGTTCTAGTCCTGGCACACAGCGCTGCCATGAGTGACAGTTTGTGTTGACACGTGTAGGTGAGCGGGGGGGGGGGAGGTCATGTATTTGTGTACGTGCCGAGAAGATGGAGAGAGGGGAGGAAAAAGTGCACGTGGATTAATGATGTGCTTGAGCGAGTTCACAAATGAGCAGGCGCAATGTTTGCTTCCACGGACAATGCGGTATTGATCTGCCGGCTCCGAGCATGATTCGAATGCCTCGGCTGTCCCCCTTCCTCCCCCCCCCGCCCCTCTCCGCCGCATTCCCAGCACGGCGCGCACACAGACGCGCTGGTAGTACGTCCTTACCCGAGTACTGCACACGTGTCCGGTTTCTCCCAGCAGCTCCATGAATAGCAAGGCCCGTCTCCTCGGCGTCCGGCCCGGGTCCCGGTGCCGAGGAGGTGACTCCGGGGCCACTAATGAATATTAATGAGCGGTGGGACGGTTGATTGATTGACCCCACCGCTGACTGGCCGACGTCACACTCGACTCGCCGCTCATGTTTATTCATTATTTGGAGAAGGAGTGTAAAGAGCGAGAAACGAGAGCGTCGAGGGGGTTGTCATTGAATGGATTGGCGTTCTATATTAGGTTTATGTCTGCGGCTTAGTGATAGATGAAGCTAGTTGGATACTTTCCCGGTCTGAGCTCCTTCTCGTGTCCTCTCAAATGCTGCTGTGCTGCGGCTATAATTGAATCTCCCTGGATTGGTAATTCTCCCAGGCTTCATACTCTGCTAATACGAGGGAGCGCAATGATACTGCAGAGGAACACGTATTCCCATCCCTCCCTCTCTAAAAATACAATATATGGTAGGAGTTTAATTACAGACGTTGTTGAAATTAATAGGAGAAGTGTCAAACTGTACTTAAAAGAATTGATCCTCTCCAATCGTAGCTGCCGCATATTGTTTTGTGGGGATGATAGATTTAGGGAAGGAGAAAACAAACAGTATTGCGAACCAAATCTGTCATGTGTTTTTGATCGATAACCCTGTATGTCCAGAACATTTTATAACATGTTGCTCTGTTCAACAATTAAATGTGCCTTTAATTTAGCTCAAGATGTACATGTTTTTTTCCTCCTCTTCTGAGTAAAAGCAGGAACACATGCTATTACCATGTTGATAGTGTCACTTTATTGCTTGGCAGTCTATACGTTCCACAATGGAAATAGTCTAGCATCTGTTGTCAAGCATTGCACTTCATGTTATGATAGCAATCAGGTTTTTATTACTATTAGCTTAGCAGGGTGCTGTGTCTTTAGTCTTCTTCGTCTTCTTGTTTTTCCTCTGTGCACATACCTGAGAGGCTTCTCCATAGGGAAACCTGCCTTTCTCAAGCGCGTGAATTAAGCATCCTCCAAATCGTTCATTTTCCTGGGTTCTTTGCTTCTTCACTAATTGAAGTTTTATTATTTCTAAATTGTACTAGCAATCAACCATTTAAATATAGATTGGATGTTGTTCAATGCAGGTTTTTATACTCTATACTGTCATATGTCATGTAGTCCTTGCATTGTTTTTGATCAAATCATTTCAGTATCAGACATGGAATTGCAAAACTCTTATCTATAACTACATGTATCATGCGGTAAAAAAAAGTCTTATTTAACACCTGTTTCAGATGTCAACGTCATCACAACATCCTCACGGGGAAGGAAAACATAAGACACATAATCAATGCCTTTTGAAAATGTAATAATATAGTTATTAATGTCAGTTTCAGTGTGAGAACTGAACCACATCCCAATCATTCTTGCCGTAAACATTTGAACCAGCCAGTTTCTCTTGTAATTAATGTCCTCTGCTGAGGTTTAGAGTGACGGGTAACCCAGTGGGAGCATTCTTTATCACCAGTCCCCCTCCTCAGGTTAGCACTTGACGCCGCTTTAGCTCCCCAGAGAGAGAGAGAGCGGTTGAGAGGCGTCATGTCTGTTTGCTTTGAACAATGACGCCTGTCAGAAAACAAGAGGGAAGGAAAAGGAAGTGGTTATAAACAAGCGTAGAGATAATATACATGTAAACGTTTACAAGAAGCTGAATGCGCCTTGTGTGATGAGCTCAAAAATGGGTGTTTCCCCTGGAGGATAATCTTAATAGTTACTGAATCAACAGCGTCATTAAGGTTGTTTACCTTAACCTTTTCTCCCGCACTGATATGAATGAAGTGTACCATCTCCTGTCCAACATGGTGAAAGATACCAGCTCAGAGGCCTACTTCCTGTCCATCCTCCAGCACCTTTTGCTGGTCAGGAACGACTACTACATCAGGTGAGTCCTGCTTGGTGTCCGGCCCCTTGTTCCCTCGTCACCACGTGCTGCTTTGCCGTTTGTTTAGAGCAGGAGATTAGAAACACCGTATACGACCCGCAGCACTCAGGTCTGTTTACTGACAGGAAGTGGTCCTTTCCTCGGTGATTCGTGTGACATTCCGTTCGTACACGTTAACAGTACATTTATCCTCCCAAAAGTGAAGAGATGAACTTGAACAATTTTTTTACTCCTGTACCTTTCGTTAGAGACCGAGGGCCGTCGCTTACTTTTCAATGAAATTGAAAACTTTTAGGTTGACTGTCAGGGATGAGTCGTAAACATGAAATGCAGTACACCATAATTCCGTGCTTTGAATATGGTAAACACATCTGTGTGTGTGTGTGTGTGTGTGTGTGTGCGCTGAAACCCAAAGCAAGGCAGTGGATCGGGAGGAAAACGTTAGAGTTGGGTTGATATTCTGTATTTTGAATTATTAGGTCATTTTAAACTGCTCTACTTTCCTTTGAAGATTAAATATGTCATTCACTGGGCAGTAACGCCGCCTTTCCTCCCGAATGGAGTGACACTGTTGAATTCCCAGCTGTTTTCAGAACTTTTTTGCAGATTTAACATTTAAAGAAAACGTTGGATGGAGGCAAGACGCGAGGAAGAATATGAATTCACCATAGACATGTTGCTGTTCCCTTGGAGTTATGAATAATGTATTCCACATCTATTCGTAGGAGGAGGGAAATAGAATTCCCATTAACCAGCTAGTGCAGCCACGTCCGCCCAGGCTCCAGTGTCCATTTACCCCTCCAGGAGACAGCAATAACAAGGGATCACACTACCGGCGCTCGCAAAAATACATACAAGTGATGGTCTTTTTAAAGATATGTTTTTGAAATAGTTTTCCTCCTCCCACTTCAACCACAAATGCAAGGGCACGCCTACACATGTGCGCAGACATGCATTGACAGCAGGAATGCATTCTCACCGAGGTATTTCATTCCCCTCACATGTGCAATTCAGGATGAAGGACAATGCTGCGGTACATCCAGCTACTTCCAATCATCTTTTTCATTCTTTGCTCTCAAAGTTACCATCTGTTTTCATGCTATGGTCAACATTTGGTGCATTGGTATTCATTTAATGAGACAACAAGCATTGCAATAGTAAGGAGTTCTGCAGTGGGCAAACGGTTGGAGTGCTTTGTCTTCGTCGGTCCTCGTAAACGCAGCACACACTAGTTGTTGCGCTCCCCTCCGGGCCTTGGTTTATTTTTGATAATTAATCTCTTCGCTGCAAAGCTTAATGAATGGGAGCACATCAAACCCACCCCGTAAATGTAGAGCAGATCTGCTCTTTCGGAGTCTGGTGATACGGGGGATTACACTGGTTATCTGGAGCAGCGCTGGATCAAGTGGCTGGGGCTGCGCTTCCTCTGCCGAGCTATCATTGGAAGAAATGGAGGTGCCAGAGTAAAAGACGAGGCGGGATCTGATGCAGGGGACAAACGGCGGCTTCTGAAGCCCGGCCCTGCCCACTGCGGAGGGGCCTGACAGTTCTGGGTCACTCTCTCTCTCTCTCTCTCTCTCTCCGTCTGTAGTTATCTCCACCCCAGTCACTATCTGCTCAGTGGTAGCGGAGGATGGAGGACGCAGGGAAAACACGGTGGCTTATTGAGATAATAATATGGTGTACATCGGTGACAGTTGTAAGCCGAGCGCCACAGTGCTTAAGCCACGCCGAGCGATGTGTGAGCTTTCACCAGCTCGTTCCAATCAGGAGTGGGCGAATCCGCCAGCTCAAGCTTAATGTATGGCATTTCATGCTTTCAAAACGGTGCCCCTAAATGCTGATTTATTCCTATTTGCTCTGGCTCTGAATTTTGTGTTCTTTCGTATTTTGGTTCATAACGTGATGCGGCCTGTCCACCCACGAGCCGGCAGCAGCACGCAGCTTCTGAGTCAAAAACCGGGAAACAACTATTCTATTTAATCTTTATTAAAAGTTTGTGTTTATCACATTATTTTTTCTTTTGACGCACACTTTGATATATGTGCTTTTTTTTTTTTTATTACACATAATTGACCCACGTGGAAACACACACTTAGTGTTCACATTTAAGTAAAGTAAAGCCTTCATGCAGAGCCATCGGATGAAGCATACACAATTGTTTCTGAAAAAAAAAGGATAAAAATAAGTAGAACAAAAGAAGTTTGAACCTGTAATTTCAAAATCAGATGAAGGGATTCGATGACTGTCCCTTCTCCAGCTGTTGATGCTGCATTATTCCTACTGTTAATTAATTCATCTCACTCCTCCCCTACTCCAGATTTTAGATTTCCTGTCACACGCAAACTGAAACAATTAATTGGTCACGGCCACATGCATTTGTATGTGTTGTTGTTGTTTCTGATTAAGCTCAATAGGATAATAATTTTTTTAATAATTTTTCTCTCTGCTTTTTTTGTGAGCGTCCTAAAGGGTCAATTTACCTCAGTTCAAACTTCAACTTCCAATTTAAAACAATTGGAGGTTGAGTCTTTAAGGCTCAAAATTTTAAAAAAATAGTTTATTTTAACCATCAATTCCTGGTCAATGTCATGCTCATACAAGAAGTATTCCTCAGTTTGGAGTCCGGGTTAAGTTGCCGTTGTATTTGCTGAATGTCACTTGCAATTAAATTCGATAATGTTACCGGGAAAAGGTCAAATACCAACCTGTGTGACGGAATGAGACTCTCGGGCTGAATCAGACACCCTGCTCGCCGGCACCGAGCACTCAGTCACACTTCTAACTGGCTGACATGTTTTCCTGGTCATTGTGCTTTCAATTACACACATTACGCTGATTAGATTTACATTTCACTTTTTACGGTCGCTCTAATTGGCAAAGATGATTGCAAATTAGGCGAGAGGGCGAGCGTAGCCTTGGCCACCGTCTGTCACCTTGAAATGGACAGACTAACACAGACCTGGGCTCCGTGTTCCCATTAATCTGCTAATTTCACGATTCTGCTGAAGCAAGTGAGATGCAATTTAATGGGGTGCCTATTTTCCCCGACCCCCTTCCGTTTGTGACATGGCATTTTGTGACCTCTAGCTTGTATAAAAGAATAATTTGTGGTTAATTAGACTTTTTAGGGTATATGTCACTCATATTTGTCCCGCGGCTTGTCTAATTGCTCTGCTTTATGTTTTGTGACCCCTCAGGCCTCAGTATTACAAGGTGATAGAAGAATCTGTGTCTCAGGTGGTTCTGCACCGCAATGGCATGGACCCCGACTTTGGCTACAGCAGAAGACTGGACGTGGACTTCACCCATCTGATTGGTACTAAAATGAAATACGTGCTACACACATAAGAGAAGAAGAGACAAAATCCACCAACACGTGTAGTTCAGATCTTTATATTCTAAAGGTTGTTTGTTGTGCTGCAGTAGGAATATCTCTGTAACTAAACATGTTGTGGTACACAGTCGTGTACTCGTTATCCTCCCGGATCCCCCTGAGATTCCTCTGACAAACAAGCTGCAGTGGCTCAACATATACGATGGGGTCACCTTAATTATTGATTATTGATTATTGATAAATGCATTATATTGGGTCGAATGACTTTAGCATGTTTAGAACCATTTAAGATGTCAGTTACTCGGCAGACGTGTTATTGGAATCATAGGGAAAACATCTACACTCTTTTTTTTTTTTTTTTTCCAAACGTACAATAAATATAATCTCTTTGTTGTGTAACTAAAACCTCTGTAACTTTCCAACAAAGGGTCATTAAACGTTTCTAAACCTATTCACATTGGACTGATGCCGCAGTAAATACGTTTTCTCAAACGTTTCTGCAATGTGGTTATTTTTTGTTAATTTTAGCAACATAGCAACCACCTTTTTCAGTTTTTTGCTCTTTCACAAAAGGGTGATGTTTTTGCGATTTTTTTCTAGTGTGTGTGCTCAGGATGTGCGATCTAACACTAATTTACACTTGAAACTTTTTTCAACATTTGCCAGCCAACAGATAACTAATTAAAATGAAAGTTGTCTAAGTCAGTAAGTAAAACTGAAATTCTCTAAAACGGAATAAGCTCCGTATTTAAAGCTGTGATTGATTTTAATCTCGTTGAAGAAACACACCCTAAAGCAACAGATAAAAGCCCACAATCTTTAGATGATGATTCCGACTATTTAAGGATACTCTCAGTCGAATAGATTAAACTGAAGAGGAGGGGAAATATTAGCACATCTGCATGAGCCAAGAGTTGCTCAGCATGACTGATTTTGCTGTGTGAGGCAATTATTGAACATCTCACGAAGACACTTTTTCGCAAGTTTAACATAACCGTTGCATCAGTTACCAAAGCTTCACAATTGATACTTTTTTCTCCACTATAGATTTTTTAAATTTTTATTTGTTCATTTTAATAATTAATGAGCTTTGCATTTCATCTGTTTTACACAACCTTTAAAAAAATACTCCACTAAACAGTTATGCATTTTATCTGAAAATACATTTATAGATACATTAGATCGTATGTCATCATCAACCGGTAAACCTTCAAGATTCTTTTTTCTTCTTCTTAAAATACAACTGGTATTTTTAGACATGGTGAAATGCACCTATGATCTTTAACACCTTTTTGAGCATCCAAAGCTGTAAACATCTTACAGATCTAACAGACTTTAGAAGAAACGTTTCCGATCCCATACGCTCTAATGTACTACGGGAAAACAAGTCCTGGGTCTTACTGAAAATCCCACATGAGGAGCTAATGATGCGCGACGCTCCTCTGAAGTGTCTGTGTCTTTCTTGTCCTGCAGATCAGTGTGTGGATAAAGCCAAAGTTGAAGAGAGTGAGCAGAAGGCTGCCGAGTACTCCAAAAAGGTGAGACATTCATCACCCCAACGGCCCCCTCGGTAGGCACGGCCTCCGATCGGGAAAGTTTTTTCCTTCCGCAGAGCTCCCAGACAAGCTATTGATTTTCCATGCCCTGATCAATATCTGGGTGTGACGCTACATGATCCGTATCAGCATTACAAGAATCAATGCCGATGCTCTGATGTATACTTATTTGAGCACACTGCTGGGACAGAGTTAAGTTATGTGGCGGCTCTGTAGTCTTTATCTCACATTTCCTCTTAACTAATTGACTTCACTAGTTATTTGCATGATTGTTGGATTCTATTTTTGATTTATTTGAGGGAAATAACAGCGCTGCAAGATTAAAACTTTACTCCATATATTCTGTAAAATGTAAAAAATGTGTCCTAAGGAGCCTCACTACCGCTGTCTTGCGACTCCAAGGGGGTCCTGGGTGTTTTTTTTCTTTTTCTTAAGAGTCCGGTCCCATCGGCCGAACGCAGACCCCGCTGGGCCTGTGAAGTCATTGTAGCGACATGTCTTGGTTTCTGCAAAGGTTAGATCCATCAACATACATGAAAGGCAGGCCTGGAACAAAGACACAGGACAACGGGGCTCGAGGGCCGTCGGAGCTATGAATAGAAACGGCCACAGAGTGTAAGGCGCCGTGTCTTGGTGTCGGTTGATGGGCCCTTCGGCTCTTCTCTGGAGACAATGTGTCGCTCACCAACCCCGCCCGTGTTTACATCAATCTTGATTTGTGCCCGTATGAATTCCCGTGTCTCTTTTCTTGCAGTTTGATGAGGAGTTCAGTGCACGGCAGGAGGCCCAGGCCGAGTCTCAAAAGAAGGAAGAGAGAATCAAAGAGCTGGAGGGGAAGATCCAGGCTCTTGAGTCCCAGGTAAATCCATAAAGAGAAACCTTACTGCTCTGCAAAACAGTGTTACTTTCCCCCAGAGAACCTTTATCTTGTATGTCCCCCCTCCAAAAAAAAACATGAAGAAGAAGATGCTGAAAATCTGTCCAAAAGCTTTCTTAACCACTTTTTTATGTGGAAAAAATACAATACAATCTCATGCAGAATGGAAATGTTTGTCTTTAGATAATAGCAATGAGAAGTAATGGCTCCACTGGGAAAAAAGAGGTGATTTGTTCGGAAGGATAGCTTTCCACCTCACTTACAGATGTGCTGCTGCTGTAAGTGGGAGCTATCAACCATGCAAGAACATTTGATTTAATAAAGGGTCAATCTCCTTCTGAAGTCTTAGCTCTTTATATGAGCGAATTGCTCTATTGAGGCTTTCCCTATGTAATTCTATCATCACAGAGATGGATTGCATTTCTTTTTCTCTGTCTACATCATTTCTTCCGAGTCAAAACCTTCCATTTTGAGCGCAGAAAATGACTGCTATTCCCCCCTTAACCTAATCCCAAATACTTTAGCACTGCCTTGGGACAAAAGGGCAGTTTGCTTTCCCGCTTAGGGAACTTAATACAAAGTATAGTTACATTTATATCAGATGTTGCTTTTTCTTTCAAACATTCATATCTGGTTTCGTAGGTTGGTCCTCCCCTTCCGATAAACTGCACAAGCACAGTTGGTCCCAGCATCACTCTTCCTTCCGTCCTCTAGCAATTGTTCATAGGTCCAAAACAAATGTCGTTAGGCGGTACAAGCGCGGCCGTTTGTCCTTTGCCGAAGTCGCACTAGGGCTGCACAATTAATCAAATATCAATCGATCACGGTATGGGCTCCCCACACTTTAATGAACACGATCAACATGTTGACATTTAAAATAGAGAACTTCGCTGCAGGAGAGGGTGGAGGGGGGGTGGAGCTGTTTCGGCTTTACTTTCGGTGAAGTTGTCCTGCACACAGACAACCTGCAGCGGCAAACAGAAAAACTTTCCAGATGGATGCGGCACAATCCCGAGTAGATGAGAACTTGTGATCTCAATATTGATAGAAATTGATCCGGATTCTTTTTTTTTACCGTAATGGTGCAGCCCTACTTAGAAACGGCTCTCTGGCGCTTGCACTGCTGGCTCCCTGCATGCATCCCAGAACGGGTTCATCACTCACTGTGGTCCTGATTAATGCCCGCCTATTTTAACGAGCCCATCAGAATCTAAAGCGCCTCTCCACCTGCTCCGCCTGATCGCCCTCTTTTCCTCCCTTGCTCTCTCTCTCCTTCTGTCAGAAACAAATACATCAGGCTGTGTTACCTTTGCTTGCCCTCTTTCCCTGGTTGAAGCTTTTTTTATGCTGTTTTCAAGTGTTTTCTTCCCCATAACATACCTCCCCCCTCATCCCTCCCCTGGCAGGCCTCTGTCTTTTGAAGACTGACTGACTGTGGTGCATTAACAGGTAGCGTAGAGCAGGGAGGCTCTGGAGAATTGAGTCCTCTCTTCCTCTGTTTTTCCTCAATGCTCCTTCAAAGAGCCGGTGCTGCTCGAGAGCCTCACATCAACAGGCATTAACCTCAGCGGGAAAATATGTCATCTGTTTTGGCACGGACCTGCAATAATGTGGCCAATTAGGACATCGGAACATCACCTGCGCATCTTGACGGAACATAATGTATCTACACAAAAGGGATACACAATAGAGCGCAAATAAACTTACCTTTGTGCTTTATGGAATGTTAACGTTTTCTTATTCCGAGCATATTTCTGGGCTTCATTTCTGTAAACACAGCTTTACAGCATGTGTGTTTGGCGACCTAATTCCGTGCTGGAGAAGACCATTAACCGAGAGCGCAGGACCTTTGAATCGCTGTGAGGACTCGCTCTCAGTTTGTCCATCAGAGCTGCCGCGCCGTCACCGTGTTTTGCTGAATATAAATGAAGTTAGAGCCAACCGTAACCTTTCATCTCCCAGACAGAATTCCTGCCGGGTATTAAAACACATGCACGCCCCGGTCGCTTCTCTTCACCTCGTTTATGAAGCAACACAAGGAGTCTTTGTCTGGGATCTTTGGCATCGTAACGAGATGCCTGGTTGACGTTTCTCTTTGATTAGCTCCCAATTGAGTTGAGGTTCTGCCTGCAAACATCAACCGAGGACCGAGGAATCGCAATCCACTCTTCCCCAAACCTTCGCTTGCAGCCATTCAAGGAGAAAGGGAAGGAAGGTATTCATTGAATGGGCTCTGGAGGGGATGAATAATGTAGCACCGCAGTGGTACATCAGGTGCGCCATCCCAGTAATAGGTTTTAACAACCTGACGGTCTTGTAGCTGACCCGGCTCGGCCCCCAAGAGGAGCCGGAGGTGTAGTTGACCAATTCCTCTCTCTTTTTCTGCCGGGGGGGGGGCGCCGCGGCTGGTTACAGAGTTTGACTCGATGGAGAGTCACAGAAAAACTGACAATGTAGTCACTATTATAACGTGTGCCTTGCTGTTAAAAGGTGGAGCCAGTTCGGTTGTTAACCAAAAAAAAAATACACTCTCATTGGAATGTGTTGTAAGTGCATCCCCGCTAAAGGTTTCCATATCCTTTTCCATTACAGACATGACACATTTGGTTCTCTACATTTCATAATCGGAGGTGTTCTCTTGGGATGACTTGGCGAACATGTTGCGTTCTCTCTGCTATGCAATACTCATCCGTCCTGCTTCTTTTTTGCACGGTAGCAAAGAGAGATCTCAAAGCGGGTGCATTGCTGAAACAAAGAACGCAGTGTGAAATCAGTGCCCAGCACACATGTAAGAATGTTAACTTGAAATGTATTTTTTGATGCCAGAAAAGAAGCAAAGGGAAATATGAGAAGGATTTAAAGGTGCAGCGACTGTCAGTGATGGTGTGCCGTGTTCCTTTCATGTTGCAGTCAATGCACTACACTGATGTTCTTCTCGGGGTAGATTACATCTTGTTTTAGGTGTAAGAGTACATGACTCTCTGCCATTTGCACATCAAATAGCTCATTGGGAGGGAATGGGAGAGTAACACTGTATTTGCCATTAACTGTTTAAAGGAAAGCCTCCTTCCCCTGCTTGTCTTGTTTTGAACCTTTTTTGGGGGTTTGGTAACAGTACCTGTTTCATTGGACCAGTTTTCTTCTCCTCATTTCTGTCTGTTCCTCTCTGTCGCCCTCTGTGTCTGTTGTGACTTCTGTGTGTTTCCATGGTGTGTGTGTATGTGTGTGTGTGTGTGTGTGTGTCTGCCCTCTGTGTCTTTGTGCGTCTGTTAACACAGTTAACTATTGAAAAAGACAAGCTCAAAGCGGCTCAGAGACTCATCAGTGAATCTGAAGCCAAGGTGGGTGTCTTCTTTGCATGCTCGGACATTGACAGAATCACACATTTAATCACCTGCAAATCCCAGTTGGATATTGGATGGATTATTTTGTTGTGGAGAACACTCCAACCGATTATTAACCCTTTCTTTTGTCCCTCTGCATGCGAGTCCCACTTTGTATCATGCATCACATGTTTTGAAAATCGTAAATCGTCATATTTGAATATGAATAAATATTTACTTGCAAGGGGAAGAAAATGTAAAACTAAAATATCCTTTCACTTAAAACACTTTATTCCATTATGATGATACCTATTTTTACACTTGATAGTTGTGTTTAACTACGCACATATCCTGCCTGCTTAATGCAATTTCCATTAGTCCGCTCTGTGTGATTGAAGTCCTCTATCAGAGAAGGGTTCGGGGCAACGATTTAATCACACAGCATTCACAGTTGATTACCTGCCACGCTGACCTCCCAATTGAGTCCGGGAGACTATGACTCAAAATGTGATGGTTATTTCATATGAGACCGGTTGTCTGCTTTACACAGAGCTCCAGGTGGGTATTAAAGCATCAAAGGACCTTCACAAGCTGGCGGGGAAAAAAAAAATATATATATATATATATATATATATATATATATATATATATATATATATATATATATATATATATATATATATATATATATATATATGTGTGTGTGTGTGTGTGTGTGTGTGTGTGTGTGTGTGTGTATAGATATGGCACACCTACTACCTAGTAGCTAAATCGTTTTCAGAGAGCGCGAGAGAGAGAGAGAGAGAGAGAGAGAAACGACTGGGTTCTAATTTAGCAGCTAATTTGCTTCCATTCTCTCATATTAATCTTAAAGGAGGAAACGGGACACAGGGGGCTCCAGATTGACAGACATGTAATCATTGGATGTGGATTTTCACTAAAGGGCTCTGGGCGTTGTGTGTGCAAGAAGCTCCTTGCAGACCACCTTCTTAATTTTGGCCCTAATAAACAATCTACCAATGCCATTATGTGCTGAAACACATCGTAACGTCGTTAAATATGAAGCCAATTACATTTCACGCACACAATCAAGTGTCTGAGGCAAAAGCACATTGTGGGGAATTGGGTTTGGAAATGAGAAGTGTAAGTGGAAATGCTGTTTGGTAAGAGCCGGCATCTAATCACCCGCAAAGATCAATCCCTGCCTTAGTGTGGGTGTCTGTAATTGTTGCATTTGTGTAATGTTTTTTCTCTAAAACATTTGTCTATGGCCTACATGTGTACACTGTTTGTGTGATAGTGCAGACATGTCAAAGGACCAAAATACTCTCTTATCAGTCGGGGGTTTAATTACGTCCCTGTCTAATTTTTAATAGGTTGCCAATCTTGGGACTCATGGTGAAGACACAGGGGGAGGCAACATTCTTATCTGTCGTATATTAAAACAGGAGCAGATCACATGGGTTTCTCCGATATTTCTATTCAAATTTAAATTCATTTCCAGGGATATTAATGTAAACAGTAGGGAAACCTTTTGGTTAATCCACAACTCTCCATATGAAGTGCTTGTGTTAAGACATCAGTGCAGTGAATATGAATTGCGGCTCCATGTAAGAAACTGTTATCAAGCTGCTCAAGTTTCTGCAACCTCTAACAAAATTGCCCATTTTGTGACAGAAACTACAATAAATATCAACTTACTGAAAAAATAAACCCTTATTTTCTTATCCTGTACATATTATTCATTCGAGCATATCCTCCCTCTGTGTTCAGAATTGCTTCAGTCAGTGGTTACAATCCCACAGAGTGTCCTGTTATATAGAAGTGTACTGTATTAGTCCCTTTAAAGTTCAATTGGTCGAAAATACTCAATTGTCCTTTTCCTGCTTAACCCAAGTAGGTAAAAAATTGTCAGATAACACAGTGTGTGACACAGTGTGTCTCGGGGTCTCTGTGGTTGGTAAAGACAGGCCTTCTCGTGTGGTTTAAACGTTAAAGTCTCCCACAGAACCAACCATTCTGTGTTATTGACTCATGCTCACAGTTAAAGCCCATTGTCGGCTACTAAGATACTGAAGTGCAGACATTGAAACATTTTTCACAGCACAACGACGCCTCCCGACTGGCACCAAACCAAACAGAAACATATGGCCGTGAGGGGCTTCCAGATCAATGTTTCGATTACACAAAGGGGGCCTCACCTGATCCGTAGGCCGTCGTTAACATTTACACCTTCTATTTGCAGATAGCAGCGGGTCCAACTGCGCCCGGAGCACCACCACCGCCACCCATACCGGGGGGTGCAGCTGCCCCACCTCCACCACCTCCTCCCCCACCTCTACCGGGTGGCTGTCCGCCCCCACCTCCTCCGCCCCCTCCCCTCCCGGGCCACGCTGGCATTCCGCCACCACCTCCACCGCCCCCTCCCCCTGGCGGAGGACCTCCGCCTCCCCCACCGCCACCTGGGTGCGGGCCCCCACCGCCTCCGCCTTTCGCCGGGGGCCCGGGTGGTCCTCCGCCACCACTCCTGGCATTGCCTGTCATCAAACTGCCTTATGGACTGGAACCCAAGAAGACCTACAAGCCTGAAACGGTGATGAAGAGGGTGAACTGGACCAAGGTATGGCAACCCGAGCAAACGTTTTCACCCCCCCGATGCTACTGGGCATTTGAGACTGTGAGGGAAATATATCTTTCCTCTGCTGAGGATCGGAAACAGAAAGAGCTCAGATCAAATGCACTCAAATGCACGAGCGCCCGTTCAGCCACAGGCTAAACTATTTCTCATTCAACACCCGTCCTTGAATTAGCTCTCTTACCACAATTTACTGAAGACTGGGCCGAAGGGATCGTCCATCAAAGTTGAATACAATGTCAGTATAAGATGCTCTATTTTATTATTTTATATAATAATTGTCTCCAATTGCTGACAGCAACCACAACATCAGACTAATTCATCATTTTAGTGCTGAGCAGTTGGTTTAAAAGCTAATTGTTCAATTTATTTCATAAAATATTTTAGATCTGACTTTTCGGTTTGAAGGCCATTGCACAATAGTCGTCTAACAAATGGGTAATATATGTATTTCTTTTATTATAATTTATTCAACTATAGGCCACCAAATGACACTTAAATGCACGTTGAAATCAATGCTGGGCATTGCACTGCAAGCAGCAGGTTACAGGTGTAATTTCGGTCGCCTCAGGGACTCTTTGAAAGGCCATGTATGCAGATGGTTCTCTGCGTGTGGCTGTTTGGGTTTCCAGAGCTATAATTATTAATGGTATCATACTGCACTATGAAATACCAACAAGAAAGAAGGAAAATCAACAATGTTTTTTTTTTTTAGCTTGTTAATACCAGGTGGGCTGGTGGTCCTTTTTTGATATCTTATACAATCGTTTTTTGAGCTTTATCTACTTGGTTTTACACATTTGGTTTGTATGCATGAGGTGACGTGCACACGCCCCTTTTCTGGGAATGCTACAGAGGTTAATGTGCAGGTGCATTGACCTTCCCTCCACAGGAATTGTAATTTGCTAATGCAAATAGAATTCATAACCACCTGAGGACAAATAATCCCTGTCTCTTGTGTTGATTACGTGGGGACAACAGTCGTCAGTCTTCTGTGTGCAGCTGATTTTCTACTCGACCCCGTACATGTTGGTCTAAAGAGTCACGGAGATTTGATGAAGGGGAGAACGAGAGGACTGGACAGCGTAGTTTTAAATGAAGTTTAAAGGGCAGCTCAAGGTTAATGGTTTACTGCATCACGACTACTTACATCCTGACAAACGAAAAGGTAAATATACTTTCTCCGGTCAAGATAAGGATGTGATGGCGGATTGATTTCTTAGTCATTTCCCATGTGGGGAAACACCGGCTCAGGCACACGGTGGGAAATGCCAGCTTTGTTACAGTGCTGAATGCATTTTAGATCGAGTTATTCCTTTCCCTGCATTTAATTCCATATTTGTATGTCAGTGATTCCCAAAGAAAGTTATTAGTGAAGAATAAATATCCACCCTCCAAATGCCAAAGTAAACAACACATAAACAATGTATTTCTGGCTTCTTCTTTTTTTCAGAAACGGGAATAGTGGCATTTTATGTGGACTCCTTATGAAAAATAGAATGGAAGTGTTCTTATTGTGCTAATTAAGGTTATCTGTGAACATATGGGAATGGCAGAACAAATGGCATATGGATGCAAGTTTTAATAAGGAATGTCGTGTAGAGCATCATGAGAAAAGCTCTTGGTTGAGCTCAACATCATCTAATCATCTCAACTTGTAACTCATCCCTGTTGTTAAACAAAATGACATCATCTTTGTTTTGGTCATGGTCAGAAACCCCCCCCCCCCCCCCCGAGTTGTGCACCAGTCTTGACGTGGAGGAACGGAAAAACAGTCGACGCATATTCAGCAGCTATGCATTCAGTCCATCCCGTTACTTAATTACTACCAATGAGTGCATGTTCAATTTGTGAGGTTCAGAATTGACTTATTCCCGGCCTTTCAAGGAATCTGTTACTAATCTTTTAAATTGCAGTTTCTGTGCTGTAATCATCTTGCATACAGGGCCGTACTCCAGTGGGCTTTAAGTTCAGAAAAGTTTTCAAAAGCTTTCTTCATTCAGGTGGTTTCAGGTTGTTTTTGTTGTATTGCTGCGGGCTCCCTGTTCAATCTACATTTCTTTTGTTCAGCCCAAGCTTTACCTTTTGTCCACAAACGTTTTCTTCTGTACTTCCACATTTGCAACATTCACAAAGCGGATATTCTTGTTTATATTTTGAAAATCCTTTCAATTTTTTTTTTTTTGTATAGGACAATACAAATACAAATCAGTGTCCTTTGCAGAGTTAATGGAAATGCCTAGAATAATTATAGAATAGACACACACACACACACACACACACACACACACAACAATATGGTTAAACATTTCTGCACTGAAAGTGTTTTTGTTCTGTGGTGAAACAATTCTGAAGCTTTCCCGAGCTATGTAAAGGCAGCAATAAGGTCATCACTGTTGTTGAGTTGTCTCATCGACACGTTGAATCAAATCAAAAGAGGATGAGACCTTGGATCCCACAGGATGCTCGACATAGAGAAGCTTACGGAGGACTTTCTTTTACCTCTGCAGCTTCCGGGTTGATAAAACGCATCAGTCTTTCTTCTGCACTTCGGAATCTGCAGATGTCCTCTTTGAAGCTCGTGATGTCTCTGTTTGCCCTCCCGGAGCCACGGGCCGTCCTTTGACACCCAGTGAAATGATTCTGCTCCCTTGTTAGAATGCTGATACTCAAGTTGACGACCAGAACTGATGTGAGCATGATGGCGTCACTGAGCAGCATTACGCTGATGACCATTTCTTCTGGACATTGTTGTTTTCTTCAGTAAGGAAAATTGTGATGACAAATACAACAGGAAAAACATTTGCTATAATAATTTAATTTAGAGGTAATACATCTGTAACCATGTTTAATGGTGTGATTTCTGTTGAATCCAAGGACTGAAAAATGAGAAATGTTATTATTTATTTATTTTATAGATATATAGATGCTTCTTTTAAAAGAACACAGTTTATCCTAAAACCCCAATCACCCATTCATCAGCACGGTTCATTGGATAAAATTTCACCAAAAGCTTGTCACCGGCCTTTCATGTTGGACGTGGGAATCACCTCACTATATTTAGTTTTTTCCCTCGATCGATGGCAAATTAATTTGAAGCATATTAAATATTTTACATTTAATTCTGTAATTCAGAGGGATATTTACTTCACTGAAACAACACCCTTGCACACTTACACCTGAGCAAACGTCCAATAGCCATGTTGAATGGCTGAATAACAATACATTTTTACATATTTTACAATTTTGTGCACCAGAAACACGTACTAATATTTCTAGAAAATAAAAGGGAAGTACTTCTACATCCCAATATGGTGATCTGCAACCTTATCGAGAGACCCATTTACGCACTAACTGCCTCCTGTGACTTGATTGGGGGGGTGTTAGAGGACACGCGTGTACACCGGTTATCCACGCTCAGCACCACCTCATGTTGAAAGTCCCATAAGCATCCCACTGAAGCCTCTGTTCTAGCAAACACTGCTGCACTTACCGCGCGGACGCTCTATCTGTAATATGCATACTAGTGGCACTTACGACTCTTCCCGTCCTGTAATTGCTGGTGTCTTTTTTTACGGAGGTTAACGGCAACAGTGCAAACAGGCCAATTGCTAGTGCTGTCCCCAGAGCCCCCAGTGCAACACAACGCACCGCAGATTGTAGCGTCGCACACACTATTATCCACAGTAGTAACACCAGCAAACATGTCTGAGTATTTCAGTAGGCTGTAATAAGACACGCGTGAGGTGTGCGCAGGTGCCCGGCTGCTTCTTAGAGGCTTCGCTGTCCCGTCGGTTGTGGGGTTTTTCTTGTGCTGCCAGCCGAAGTTGACACGCTTCCATTCGTCTCCGGGAGGTCGTTCGGAGCTTCGGTGTGAACGGTTCAGCCGGGGGGCGACTGAGATCATCTTTTTGACGCGCTCACACTCCTGTGACTCTGGTCCCGCGCAGCCTCTTCTTTTGCTTTTGTTGGTCCTTACGCTTCGGATTCACACACACAAGGACAAATGAGCGTCCGTCCACGCAAACACACAAACCCCATCTGAAGAGAGAAGAACTTTTTGAGTGGCAGGTTGGCGGAATGGCGGTCTGTGATTGTGGTGATAATGGGATCCTTGTGTCATTGCAGATAGTGCCTCAGGAAATGGCGGAGAATTGCTTCTGGATCAAAGTCAAAGAGGAGAAGTTTGAGAATCCTGACCTATTTGCTCAGCTCTCCCTCTGCTTCTCCTCGCAGAGCAAAGGTAAGGAGGCGTCATCTCCCTTCACTCTTTCCTTAATTAATCTACACACACATGCTTCATACAGCCTCTTGGGCAAAAGATGCTGAGCCACTTTCATCTTGTGACACTTTAGGAAGCCATTTTTCTCTCTGAAATGTTAATTATCTTTAAACCAAGCACTTTTCCCTGTGCGTTTAACACCATCTATGTGTGCTGTCAAGTCAAATATCTGTGCCAATTAACAATACCCGGGCCTTTGCTGCAGTGTTTTTATGTTTTTGAGAACCTTTAGTATGCGATGTGGCTGCACATTGTCTGTGTTTTTTGGACCCTTTGAGTAGTTTCAGATCAGTTATTTTGTGTGCGCACATGCACAAACTAGAACTTGTACGCATATGTGTGAACCCGAGAGGAGTTATGCTTGGTTTGCTTTTTGCCTTTTCCAGTCCAGTAAGCCTTCCATCTGGGGGGGGTGGGATGCTTTTGTGAAGGAAGCTCTGGGAATTTTCTTGTCCCGGCCAGTTTGTTTCCTCAGATACACAAGCACAACTACCTAACTTGCTGATGAATAACACCAGCAGTGCAGAGCAAAGTTTGTTTTTGAATGGCAAAAGAAAGGGTGTGTGAAAGCACTTGGTGTATTCCTCCCATGGCAATGTGTGTGTTCTCCACTTCTTTGATAGTGTGTGTGTGTGTGTGTCTAATGCTGGCAGCACTAGGAGGGGGGAGTCAGAGCCCTGTCAAGTGCAGAACAGTCAAATCTGAGCTCTGTCAGGGTGCGTGGACGTAACTGTACAGAATCCACCCACTTTCCCATGTTTCCCACCGTCTATTTGGACACCCGGCGGCGGCAGCTTCTTCCTCCGTCTTTCCACAAGCTGCACTGTCTCCAAACGAGACTTGGACCTTTTCCTTTTAGATTTACACTTAAGCAGCAAATCTGCACGTTCGCAGAGCATACCTGCTCTACGCGTTCACCGACTCTTTAGATGAAATACAACTTTCCATTTGGATGTCCACAGACCCACGAATTTAATTCCGCTTTAAATGTCCTCTTAGACTCTCTATTAAATTCACTCCCTCACCCACTGGGCTTTAAGAAAAAAAAAAAAAAATGCACTATAGAAAGTCCATGTTCCCGCTGGCAGGGCAGGAATTCATGATCCAGCGTTCCCCCCGGGAGTTACCTTTGCTGGATCCCTATCAATTACCCCCGCAGCGACTTCACTGAATCAGCTCTTTTCCCTCTATTGTTGAACGAGAACATGATTTTGCTCATGAATGAAAAATGCTGTTTAATGTTTGATACCCCCCCCCCACTCTCTCCGTCTCCCCCGTCGTCGGCGAAGTTGAAAGTCAATGAGTAGGCCTTTGAAGTAGATGGTACTGCGGAAAAAGGTGCTAGATGGAATCTTCCCAAAGTGGTATACTTCATTTGTTTTTCTCTCTCCTCTGCTACATGATTCATGCGGTGTCGTCTGAGGATGTGCAACAATAAGTGCGCTTCAATATAAAACACTTTGTCGACAAGATCTTTCCGTCTTATTTCCGCTTTGAATCTGACCTATTTGGGTAGTGAGTCCTCCCTCATCTCAAGTCAAATTGTTTAGTACGGTATTGGCTGTAGGTTAAAGTGGTTTCGGAGGTTGTGGCGGAGGAACGGAGTCGAGCAAGATTAATTCCTCAGGTCTTGTACTCTCATTGTAACCTGTTATTGTAACCGCGGACCATAAATCCTTCGTGCTGATTTGACAAACATGTCACTTGTGAAAACCGACTTCATTTGTCTGCGATATTGCCCATGTTTTTTAAACTCACACACACACAAACACACACACGCACACACCTTGTGCTCACATTTGTTGTTGGTTTGTTTTTTTACGGTTTCCATGGGGTACTTCCATCATGGCCCCGTCTTAGGGGCGGATGTTTAGAAGTAAAGCAGACGTCAGGCGACTAGAGTATCGTGGAAGATGAGGCAAGCAGGTGTAAACGTCTTCCCTGCAGAGCAGCCCGGAGAAACGGGTGAATGAGGCGTCTGTTACTTCCACGTTCATCGGGATTCCGGCTTGTTACTTGCATTTTTTAAAACAACTCTGTAGCTGTAAAAATGGTGGGGAAAAAAAAAAAAAGAATCACTTCAACACCTCCAAATTTTAAGGTGCTTATTATACTCAAAGGCCTCTAAAACAACCGAGAGTGCAAGGCTGTCATCTCCGCCGCTGCCTCCATGAGTCCCGCTGTTTAATGAGTTTTTCTAAGAAAAGGAAATGATAGTCAAGAGGGATTTCAACCTCAGCTTCAATCTTCTAAAAGTGACTTCTTTCTTTAGTCATTTATCATGTCACCGTACTTGGGCCCCATTAAAAATGCAGCGCTTATGTCAGTTACGAGGTCGGACGGCTGCAGAGGAAGTTTTGATGGGGACATCGATTCAGCACAGACAACCGCGGAATCTAAATCCCTGTCTATTGTAACCACTGCACAGTATGTATCCAGATGTTATGCGTAGCTCTGACGAATCCAATGAGTGAGCATTAATCCTCTGTGTGAATATGACATTTGATGCTGCATCCCGTTCTCGTGGAGGGAAATCTAGCAGCTTTCTCCTGTGAGATAAAAAATGTGTTGCACTTAGAGCTGCACCTCGGCCGCTGATGTCAAGGCAGGTGTTCAACCTTTGGCACCATCAAGTGCTTTGCGATGTGACATTTGTTATCACCCGCGCATAGAGCCGAGCGCTCGCTGGCAAAGACACGCGTCTCTATTTGCCGTCGCTCACCGCCCTGGTTTTTTATTTTTATTTATTTATTTTGGGGAGCTATATACAAGACATTAAACAGACGCTCTAGATCAACCTGGCAACGTCGTCGAGTCATTTCATTTCCATGAAAAGTGTTTTCTCTTTCTTGTCCTTTTCCCCCTTTTCTGCCTTCGCTTGACTGTATCGGCTTATTTCTTTTTCTTTATGCTCTTCTCCATTGACTTGGCTCTCCACTCTTTTCTTTTTTTTTTTCCCTTTTCCCCCCCTCATCTCCCCTCAGTGCGCTTTATCAATCAGTGGGTTGTGCCTTTGTATGGCTCTTGGGATCAAATCAGATTCACTTCGGGATTGAATGTGTGTAGCCATGGCCTGCTGCATTTGAAAGGCAATTCATTCAGCTGGAACTTTGCAGTTCAATTTGAAACAAGATTGATGTTGGCAAACTTCACACCCCCTTTCTTCCAAAATGTTTCCTCCATTGCACGCACCAATTGCTGATGGACAAAAGGGCATATGCCACTTTGTAATGGCGATGTCTAGGCTCCTCAGCAGAAACAACAGCACGGGCGAAGGCACGTAACTCAACAATAACTAAAATCCCAGACTATTTTTCACTATGGAACACAATAGTGTGAATAGTAAACGAGGTTGCAGTCATAAGTCACAGAATCTCTAAGGCTCTTTAAATCCGCTGTTATGGTTTGAAAGTCAAAGGCACTCATACTTCTGCAGAAAGAGACAGAGGCCTAATTAAGATGTACGTGCATTCTGGAGGAGAAATCAGAGTCTGCATGCCACCCCTGTGAGGACGGGACTCCCTTTCCCAGCATGCCTCAGTGGTAATGATGGCGAGGCAGCTAATGAACACGCGAATAAGGCCGGAGGGGACAAGGAAAAGTGTCATTAAACCAAACGGCCCCTTTTGGAAATGAATCTTAAAATTTCTCGAGAGAAAAGGGGAAATAGAGGCATCAGCTAATGTTGGAGGGCGTATCCAGGGAGGTCTTTGCCTGGCGAATGTTAAGCAGATTTTTGCACATCGTGTTCCACCGATGTGCACTTTTCAACAGTTTGATATGAACTTTAAGCCAGTGATCTTGTTTTCTTTAACCCCACCATCATGTTTTGTAAGCCAAGGGAGAAAGAAAGAAGATCTCCAACATGTGCTCTCCCTGTAAAGGTCAACCCCGGGAAGGCAACTTGGTTCAAACCTTACTGCAAGCGATGGCTGCAGCCACCCGCCCCCCTCATCACATGGAATTGGATCAAATCCCTCAGGGCTTCGACACCCATTTTCCTTCACCTCTGTCCCTACAACTCAACCCACACGCGCACAACCCGCTTTCCAGTGAGCCGATGTGTTGTGCACACCAGTGGCTTCTCAATCCCTGCCACAGAGCCCACAGCAGCAGGGCGGTAATGACCCTGCCACAGCGGCAGTAATGATGGAATCAGTGGGGGGGGGGGTTAGCTGCCTCTGTGACTCTCCTTAATAAGTCCCCTAATAACTCTGTTAACATCAGGGCTGACCCGGCCACCAGATCAAACACACTCACGGATGGTCAACCACCCCACATGACACCCGGCAACCTCTCACGACCGGCAAGGCAACTGTTGCAGAGCAACACGAGGTTTGCTCCGAGGCCCCTCATGGTGGAAACAAGTTTTGGCCCACATAACCCAGCAGGAGCTGTAGACACTATAAGTGTCACTCAAGACTATTTTAATCCTATTAAGCTGTATTCACTCATAAACAATGTGCCTCGATGATAGAAACCTTTGCAAAAGCTTGTTGCTCTTGGAAAAAAAAAAAGCCCTGTCCCACGACTGCTGCTGGAGCTCTGCCTTCGCCGATAGTCCCGATGTAATAAAGGCTTTTTGTCTAATGGGTTTAAGCTCAACGCAAAACACTGCAGCTCACTGTGGACTAGCCTGCCTTGTATTAATAGCATGTGTACAACAATAAGCTTTTGATACGTTCTATGTCAAAGGGCCGGGACGTTTTAGGCTCAATGGTTTGCCGTGTTTCCCCGCGGAGCGAGGCTGTTTATTACAGATTCTGTTAATTGGGAGGACGTTGTTTTCGCCGAGGCGCCTTGCTCCGCGTCTTTATCCCTTTTTTCTCCCGCCGTCGTCGTTGCCTTTCTCTTTTCTTATCTCTTTTTTCTCTGCTTGCTTCTGAAATCATCTCTTTGGACCGGCGAAGGTCCATCGGGAGTCAGGGCCAGTTTCATAGTTGAAACAAAACCCGCCCCCC